AAGAGTGGGATGGCTGGGTCTTGAGGTAGTTCGATTCCTAATTTTCTGAGAAACCGCCATAATGATTTCCACAGTGGTTGTACAAGCTTACATTCCCACCAACAGTGGAGGAGTGTTCCCTTTGCTCCACATCCTCTCCAACATTGGTTGTCATTGTTTTTAAAGAAGATGGAGCATTTCAAATTTCTGTTCATTTATTAGTGGGGTATGGGGGGGTATGCACATGTCACTGTGTGGATGCGGAGGTCATAAGACAACTTTGGGGAGTTGGACCTCTCCTTCCATACATTTGAGGCAGGGTCTCCCTTGCTTCTGCCTTCCTGTGTACTCTAGGCTAGCTGACTCCACAGCCTTCAAGGCGATTCTCCCGTCTCCGTCTGCCACACCACTGCAGGAGTGCTGGGATTACAGATGAGGCCACTGTGCCTGGCTTTTCTTTCCATGGGTCCTGGTAACTAAACGCAAGTCACCAGGCTTGTAAAGTAAGCGCTTTCACCCACAGAGACCTCTCCCCAGCCCACTGATAACTTGTTCAAATTTTAGATGGTCTTTTAATAAAAACAAAACAAAACTCAGGGTGAAAGCTCAAAGATCAGAGAAGCAGAACAGCCAGCCACTAGTTCTTACTTCTGTGAAATCCCCAGTCTAAAGAGCGTGAGTTCCCGTCTCCTCACGCCTTATATACCTGGGATTAAAGGTGTGTGTGCTGCCGTGGCCTGGCTCTGTTTCCAGTGTGGCCTTGAACTCACAGAGATCCAGATCTCTGCCTCCCGAGTGATAGGATTAAAGGTTTGTGCCACCACTTCCCGACCTCTATGTCTAATCTAGTGGCTGGCTCTGTCCTATGATCCTCAGGGAAGTTTATTAGGGTACACACTATATCACCACAATAACTTCCTTGAAATTCCGTTCAACGTGTCCACTTGTCAAGGAAATCCTTTCTAATGGCTGTTACCTTGACTCGTGTAATGTCCTTGTTGGATGGCTCTAACACCACTGGGTCTGCTTCTGTTGCATGCTTTCTCTCTTTGTGAGGAGTGTTCTTTGTGTGTTTCCCAATTGTTAGGGAATAATGACTCGTGTGTAACAGGCTAATGGCAACTGGGGTAAATGGTGTCTTCTTACAAAGGATGTGACTAGTTCATCCACGGGAGAGCTGAGCATTGGGCCATTGCTACCCTGGGCTGATGTGGGGCCTGGAGCTCAGGAGTGAGAGGGGTATGGGGGTGTGGGGTGTGGGGGACTCTTGGCAGAGTTTCTACTTCAGACACAGTGTTCAGAAGTGTCACTTTCCTCTCCCTTAGGTGAAGACCCCTCTGTCCCCTGCTTCTGCTTCCAGGCCAGGCTCTCGTTACCTGGTACAGGACTGATAAAGCTAGGGGGATTTGTTATGATCTGCACCGAGGCATGCCGGAAATGACAGGGGGCTTTCCCTTCAGCTTCAGTGTAGCCTAGAGGTTGTTGGGTGTTTTCAGACGATCTTGCCACTGGGAGTTCGACAGCATTGGCTCTTTTCAGTCTCTGCACCAAGCAGGTGGGGCACTGGTGAGAGAGGACCCCAAAAGTTACTGGTGCTTAGATACAAATAACAGTGTATGGAGTGAGCAGGTTGTGTTTGTGTACACACATATATCTACACGTCACAACCACTGAGGAAAAAGAGGCATGACTTAGAAAGAGAACAAGGTGCGGTACCCAGGAGGGATTGGAGGGAGGAAAGGAAGGGAAAAATTATTTAATTACAACCTCATATTTTTTTTTAAGCCATTGGCATTTCTCTGTTAACTCTACTACTCTGCAAGGTGATCTTGGAAAGTCTGGCTTCGACCCAGTGTCCTGGTGCATCCTGGGATCCCCGGGGCTATAAACTCCACAGTCTTCACCCCTCAGCTTCACCGACCTTTCACTTTGTTACTTTGCACCTCTCCATCTAGAGAGCATTTTTTTCCCTTCTTCTGTGTATTCCTGTAATGAAAATGCAATGTCCTGCCTGAAGTAGCGAGAGCAGCCCCCTTTCTGCCAGGCTGGAAAGCCTTGGGTTACTACATGTCCAGCCTCCAAGCTCCTGCGGATATCAGGCAGAAGCTGACCAGAGACACGCACCGCCCACCCTCTCCCGCACCCCCCAGCCTGTGGAGGGCCTCCCTTCTTCCCAACCCCAGTTCTGAATTACCGTCTCTGTAATGAAATTCCTACCCCGGGTTCTAGCTCCCCAGGGTAACGCCTACCGCATGTAAACTACCTTGCCCAAGCGAGGCAGGTCCTTTGGTGTGCCGGCATGACCTCCGAGCTCCGGGCTGCTTCTGTGTGTACTGTGAAGTTTAGAGTGCTGAAGCCATTTTTCCTGTTCTAGGAAAAGAGAGTCTTCCCACTCCTGTCCGTGGATAAAGAGGAACTGGGCTGGAAGCATGTGGCCCATCCTCAGAGGCTGGAAGAGGGGACGTGTGAGTCCACGTGGAGCCCTGGCACGGGCTGTGCTGGGCCAGGCATGGCACCCCTGCGGCCGTGCCGTGGCCAGCGCTGCCTCGGTGGGCCAGGATGAGTACAGCTTTGTGGTGGTGGGTGCGGGCTCAGCTGGCTGTGTGCTCGCCAACCGTCCCACCGAGGACCCGGACCACCGGGTGCTGCTGCTAGAGGCCGGTCCTAAGGACGTGGTGATGGGGAGCAAGCATCTCCAGTGGAAGATCCACATGCCTGCCGCCCTTGTAGCCAACCTGTGTGACGACAAGTACAACTGGTACTACCACACTGAGGCACAGCCAGGCCTGGACGGCCAAGTGTTATACTGGCCACGCGGCCGGGTCTGGGGGGGATCCTCATCCCTCAACGCCATGGTCTACATCCGTGGACATGCTGAGGACTATAACCGCTGGCACGCCCAAGGTGCCGAGGGTTGGGACTATGAGCACTCCCTGCCCTACTTCCGCAAGGCACAGAGACACGAGCTGGGACCCGACAGGTACCGCGGTGGTGACGGCCCACTGCACGTGTCTCGGGGCAAGACCAACCACCCCCTTCACCAGGCCTTCCTGCAGGCCACACATCAGGCTGGCTACCCCTTCACCGAAGACATGAATGGCTTCCAGCAGGAGGGCTTCGGCTGGATGGACATGACCGTCCACCAAGG